TTTTTCAAAAAAGTATTTATTTACAAATCTCTCTTCACCTATATTTCACTTAATTCAAATTATTATTTTTATATAAATAATTCCTATGATTGACTTATTATCAAAATATTCTTAATAACAATATTTAAATTGATAGTGTCAATGTTTCGCTATTCACAATATAAAATATGAATATTCACATTATTAAATTTGCTAAACATTTAAAAAATATTTATAAGGATAAAATTATTCATAAAATATTTTAATTATGAGAATTAAAATTTGATGTATTAAATATTTAAATAATAAAATTTATTAAAATATAGAAATATATTATAAATTAATTAAAATATAAATATTAAAAAATAATTTCTAATAAATCTTTTCATGGATGCTAGAGATGGCAATTGGAAACTGACCCGACGGGGACCTGATCTCTCGACCCCCGAATTGAGCGGTTATTCCTCAAAAAATACCCCCAACGGGCCGGGGATGGTATTAAAAATTAAATCTCCAATGACATTCGGGCCGGGGACAGGGATATCTGTTTCAGCCCCAGACCCGCCCCGGCCCGATCCCCGCCCCGCTTGCCCGACGTGAAATGATATTTTGCCCCTGGCTATATTAACGTGTGTGTGTGGTGTTTTAGGGCTTTGGCTGAACAGAACACACACCAACACAAACACAACCCAAAGTCGTCCTCCCCCTCTCTGCTCTGTTCTCTATCTCTAGGGTTTCGCTTCCTCTCTCTCTCTCTCTCTCTCCACACACACACAACGACGGCACCGATGAGGGAGATGACCGGACGACATATAGGTGACGGAAGAAGCGCGGTCGACGGAGGCATCAGGGTAGAGGTAGGAGAAGTAATCGACGGCGGTTGATGAAAAGTGTTCCAGGGGAGGAGGTAAGCCGGTGCCGAGGGTGAAGTAGATGAGGTAGGCTAAGTGAAATAAGTCTTTTGGGGTTTTCTCGGCTTGGAGAGAGAGATTGACTCTGAATCGCCGATTTTGAGATCGTTGGTGTTGTGTTGGTGTTTGTGATCTTGTTGGTGTTGTGATTTTTTTTTTATTATTTTTTTTTCTGGAGTAATTTCTTTTGAGATCTGTTGATGATGTTGTATTTGAGGCTAAAGTAGGTTGTTGATGCTGGGGGATTTTCTGCGGGTCGGAAAATTGCATTTCCGTTAGGAGGCGGGGGGCGGAGGCGGGAGGCGGGGCGGGGGTGGGCAGTAGTGGTTCCCCGTCGGGATCGGGGGTCTGGGACAGGAGGAAGTTCTGCGATCGGGGATCGGGGACAGGGAGAGTGATCCCCGGCCCCGCCTCACCCCGTTGCCATTCCTAACCAGATGTCTCGAAGGGATAATTTGCCCTTATTAAATAGATATAAAAATGTCAACACAATCGCACGTTGGAAGTACCGATAGGCCTGGTTTTTTTTTTGGGTATGGCTTCTGTCCAGTCCGATCCCGGGACTAGACCGTGTTGTTGGGCCCGTAGGGGCCCATCATGGTCTCGTTTTGATAATCTAAACCGTTCAATGTGTAGAAATCGTCGAGTACTATATGTCTGTAAAAAATCACGTTGATCGGATATCGATAGCTATGTGATCAAAATATTTTTTGTCAATCGTTAATTTGTTCACCGTCCAATTTTTTTTAATATGAAACTGATTTGATCATATGGCTATCAATATCCGATCAACGTGATTTTTTACAACTATATAGTACTTGACGAGTTCTACACATTCAACGGTTCAGATTATCAAAACGGGACCCGTGGTGGGCCCCTATGAAAAATTTAAGACCAAAACATGACATCAGTCAGTGGGACCCACTCTTTAGAGCTCCTTTAGTGCTCTCAATTTAGAACTCCCAAACATTTTTCTTCCAAAATATAAAAGAAATTTTTTTTTTAACCCAAAAAAAAAAAAAAAAAAAAAAAAAAAAAAACTTGGCGGGCGCAGCATAGGCAGCTATGGGAAAAGAAAAATTAAAGTGTTACTTGAAAGAATATTTTATATTATTTATCAATAAATTTTTATGATATAAAATACTAAGACGAAAAATAAATAGATCAGGACATATCCATCAATAAATTCAACCACTCTTTAGAGCTCCTTTAGTGCTCTCAATTTAGAACTCCCAAACATTTTTCTTCCAAAATATAAAAGAAATTTTTTTTTTAACCCAAAAAAAAAAAAAAAAAAAAAAAAAAAAAAACTTGGCGGGCGCAGCATAGGCAGCTATGGGAAAAGAAAAATTAAAGTGTTACTTGAAAGAATATTTTATATTATTTATCAATAAATTTTTATGGTATAAAATACTAAGACGAAAAATAAATTGATCAGGACATATCCATCAATAAATTCAAAATATTTTTATACATTTTGAATGCTTTTTAACCATTTTTATCTTTTAAAATAGTTTTTTTTTATTATCATATTTTCAATATTAGTAAATGCATTTGCTTCTATCATGATAAATTTTATGTTGTCCTTTAAATTATTAATAAAAAAAAGAAAATTTTAATATACACTTCCTTTTTAAGGGTGTACCATATGCACCTCTTATTATGTCATTTTTTTCTTTAATTATGATGTCATTTTCTTCTTTAATTATGATATTATTTTAGTTATGACTCATAAAATCTTTAGTTATATCTCATGTTATGTTTAGTTATGACAAATTTTTTTTTATAGTCATGACTCAAAAAATATGAAATTATGTCATTTTCTTCTTTAATTATGGGGTGCGTATGGCTTACTATTTGAAGAGTGTGTACCATAGTGTTTTTCATAAAAAAAGTACACTTATTGATTAGACTAATAATTAGCAAATCAGAGCATTTGACTTAATAGTTGTGTAACATCTTGAAGTGTTTTGGGAAGTTGATAAAAAATTAATTTTTTAATTTTTTGACTTTTTGGCAAAAAAATTGACTTTTTTAGAAGAAGTTGGTAAAAAGAAAAAAAACTGGCTTTTTACCAACTTCCCAAATTGCCATGTGGTAACAAAAAAAAAAAAAAAGAAAAAAGAAAAAAAGAGACTAATAATTATAAAATTAAAGTATTATCAATTTTAAAATTTTATTTGGTAAGTTATTTCAAAGATTTGGTGTGAATCAAATTTAAAGAATTCAAAGTTAATAATCTCAACCATTTATTTGCAAGATTTTTCATATATATCATTCATATCATTCACAAAAAAATTATATCGATTCGATGATAGTAGCATATTCAATTTATCATGTTTTGTTATTCAAAAAAAAAATTTATATTTATAAAAACACATTTGTTATTTATTTTTTGGGATACAACTACAACAAATTAAACATATTATGATTATGTGATTGACTTAATTTGTGTATGGATAATATACACAAAATACTTTATAAAATGAATTATTCGAATCATTAAAATGAGATCTATAATGATACTCAACGAACTAAGACAACACTTTTCAATTCATGTTTTGGATTGAAAGAAAAGCCATCCCTTATTTTAATGGAGTCGGAGTCACTGTTGTGCGGCTCATGAGAATTATTTTGGATTTTATTTTAATAATTCAAACTGTTCAATTTTTAAATAATATTAAGTAGAACATACGTGTAAAAAATTAAATTAATTGGATATCGATAAATCTTTCTTCAACTCACATTTATATTTAGTTTAATACTTATATATTTATTTTTTTTAATATACAAATGCGAGTTATGGTCTTTATTTATATTATTTTAATAAATTCTAGGATGCGTATAATATGATCTTTGTATTTTTGATTATGATCTTTATTTATATGTATTTTTAATTATGATCTTTATAACTTTAGTTATTATCTATTATATTATTAGTTATTATATCATTTTAATAATAATTCAAAAATTATTTAGTTATCTTAATTTTTTTAAAATTAAGGCTCTTATAATAATTTCATAATATTGAGACATGTGATTTATGATAATCAAATCCATAAATTAGATAGGATACCTTTGAAAATTGGGTACATCGCACTACCTTGAATAAATATTGAGAAATATACTATGCTAACTCAAATAATGAAACATGAATAAGATAGATATCTATTCTTGAAACACGACACTGAAGAAGATTACGAATGGCTAACAGTAACAGTAACGGCCCACCTTTCACGTCCGCTTGGTTGCGATCAATGGAAGATACAAACAAACCTAATATTGAAAACAACAATGATTTATCCCACTAAAAATATCATCACTAATAGCACTAATGTATTAAAAAAGTAAAAAAAAAAAAAATATAACTCTAAAACTAAAACATCATATCATTAATGGCGAGACCCATTACCACCTAATTAATGGAAACACTAATTAATGCTCCCAAACATTTTTCTATTGAAAACTCCATGGTCTTCAGCCATAAATTACTCCGCCACTCATTTGGTCCCATTAACTCCTTATACTACCAAACTGACAATTGAATAAAATAAAAAGTAATGATTGAGATTTCTCCTCCTATACTTTTTTTACAAATTTGAATAATTTATGATATACATCTTACATATATATATATATATATATAAATAAAGGAACAACATCACTAAAGGACTAAGATCACTTTATGGTCATCCTTAAAGGAGATTTCAAACATTTTTTTAAAGTAAAATAAAATACAAGTTGGTTTTTTAAATTAAATAATACATGATAAAGATAATCAATTAATAATTAATGAATATGAGATATAACATTTTTAAAAATATTTTAATTGATTGACATATTATTGTATTTAAAAATTAAATTTTAACTTTTAGATTTGAATAACATAGGTAAATGAGAAATTTTAGAGTGTGTGCAATATGTATTTTTGATTATGATCTTTATGATGTATTATTAATTATTATATTATTTTAATTATGATTCAAGAATTATTTATTTACATCTTAATTTTTTTAATTAGGATTCTTATAATAATTCCATAATATTGAGGCAGGTTGTGATAATCAAACACATCAATTAAGATACCTTTGAAAGTTGTGTACATAGCACTACCCTGGATAAATATTGGGAAATATATAGTATGGTAACACAAATAATGAAACATGAATAGACAGATATCTATTCTTGAAACACAACACTGAAGAAGATAACGAATGGCTAACAGTAAAAGTAACAGCGCACCTCTCACCCTCCTCTGTCTCCTCATCCTCTCCGCCACCGCCTACGGCCGCTTCATCACCAACAATTCATCATCCGATCTGGTTTCCGATGGAGTCCACGACGGTTTCCACGCTCCGCCGCTCCTCCTCCGCCTTAATCCGCTCCGTTCATCTGACTCGTGCGACCAGACCTACGGCTTCTTGCCCTGCACCACCACCGTACTCGGAAACGTCTTCCTCATTCTCGTCTATGGCTACCTAATGTTCCTCGCCGCCACCTACCTCTCCAGCGGCAGCGAACTCTTGCTGAAGATTCTAGGTCCCGGTATCATCGGCGGCCTCTTCCTTCCCATTCTCGGCGCTCTTCCCGATGCCATGCTTATTCTCGGTATTATTATTTGTCTTCGTTTCGATCTCCATTTTTGCCTCTGTTTGGCTTCCTGGAAAATGAACGGAAAAATAAAAAAAAATATGTGAAATTCCTTGAATAACGTAAAAACGTTTTTTTTTTTTGAAAAAAGAAAACATAAAAACCGAGTTCACCTATAAGTTTGAGGATTCTAAGAGGATGTAGTTAGTTATAAATTTTAATTTGTCTTGTTTAGTAGTTTTATGTAGGTGATGCCGGTTCGATTTTGGACGGTTCGATTTGTGGTCGCCCGCATATGTGTAGTTTAAAAAAAATTGAACCCGCTCAATATTAATAATTAATGAATTAGAATTTTTAAAATTAAAAACAAAACAAAATCAATTTTTAATACAAATAAATCATTTAAAATGCTAAAATTTTAAATAAAATGATAAAATTAAGACAAGGATATCTTTTAAAATCTTAAACTAAATCATTAAAATCATTCACTCCCCAACTAATGGTAATTCTTTATTAACTTTTATATTCATTCAAAATGTAATAATAAAATAACAATAAATTATTGTCAAATTTCATTTAATTCAAACCCATTAAATAAAATAAAAACTTTTCCAAACTTGCAAACTCCATTATAATTTTTTTTTTAAAAAAAAGTGTCAAAGTGCGGACCAGTTCTTGCCGGGGGTAAAATCCGCAACCCGCAATAATGTCATATTCCAAATCGTATCTGCGCATTGTGTCTGCAAAAAAAGTCCACTTATATGCGGATCGGTTCGAATTGGGCGGTTCGAATAATCCTATGCCCAACCCTAGTTTTATGCACACATGGTGTTTGTTGTTTTGCTTTTGTGTTCTATTTTACTGTTGAAAGTTCCTCATCTTAGATTTAAAATTTTACCAGCCGTTTATTGAAAAATCATGAACCTTGTTTTAAATTTGTTGTGATTCAAATCGGATTTGTTTTCAATTTTTGAAGAATATAGCTTGAACTTGCCTCATAGTTGTATGGGTTGACTTGCATGCTTATTTTTTTTTTCTTCCCTTTTTTGAGCCCTGTGCGTATAGAAATCTGAAAATTAAAAAACTTTATTCATACAAAAAACTTTGTAAGAATGATGTGTTCAATGGTGTTTTGTTTTGAAGTAAAAAGTCCACAATGAGCCAAAGAATTTTTTGTTTGTATGATTTATAGCATTACTCCTGGAAATTGAAGCACGGACTTTTTCTCAATTGAATGGACATGAAGGTCTTGGTATGGCAATTAGATCATGTTAAAAAAAAAGGTTCTTTATTTCGTTTTGCCATTTGGTTTTATAGAAACCTTTCAAGTGGTGATGTTTAGCATGGTGAAATTGAGATGTTTTCTAAATGAAAATTTATTTGAATTGTGTTTTATTCTTCTTTTTATTTTTCAACTTGTTTGTGGAAAGTATGATGTTTTTTTTTGGGTGACAGAACTTACAATTTTTCGAGGTGTCAATTGGTAATTATATTGATTTGGTTGCAAATAATTGCTTCAGTTCTCTTGTTAACAATTGTTTAAGCTATGAGATACAGGATTTAGAAAATTACTAATGGTAATTGTGTATCTCTTCAATGTATGAATATATATATGTTCATTTTTTAACCTAATAATTCTTCAAAATTTAAGTTCAATTGATCTTGATTAGGAGTTTATCGCTTCAAACTTAACTTTGTATTTTTTGTTTAATCATGCCGTTATTCTTCTTGTCATGGATTTAATATGAAGGCAATGTTATATTTGGTGCATACACAATGAAAAACAATTTAATTTAGATTTTATTGATTTTTTTCTTCATTGCAAATAAATGTGGTATTAGGAACAAATGTCTTCTTTAATATCTTGTTTGAGTCTTGACCAAAACTTTTTTCTTACTTTTTCTTCAAATGCATAACTTATTCATGTGCCTTGTATAACGTATTTCAATATCTCAATTTAGTTGAGGAAGTTTTATGATTCTCTCCAATTTAGAAAATTTGGCCTTCGGGTAAACTTTTTGTAACTAATTTTCTTTTGATGGATGAAATAAAGCCCAGCATTAGAATATAAGAGGTTTCAATTAGCTAATAAAGCTAGTTTGTGAACTTTAAATTAGTTATGTGCATGAGAATACCGTGGAAGGGAAAATCTAGATCGAGGATGCAGGGAGTAGATGATGTTGATGACTATGTTAGATATACAGCTGGTGTATCTTTTACAAATGGTGAGCCTTCTTATGTTCTACTGGTATAGTATCACACACAATATGGGATTATAAAACATGAATGCATAATTGCATGTTTTTTCCCCTGAGATGCTAGAGGGAGTAATCAATCTAAGAGTATTCAAAGAGGAAACTTTCTGGAGCATTAGTTTGACTTCTTGGTTTTTCTATGAATTGTTTACCAATGTCTTGCATGTTGTCTCCAAATTAAAAATGAAGAAAAAATGTCAAGCGTGCATATAGTCTTCATGTCCAATGTTTTCCTCAGGCTGATTGTAGTTTGGACTGACCAGTTGATTATGCAATGTCAAGTAAAGTTCATGTTTTCAGTAAGGCCTGCATTGAATTGTGTCTTTTCTGCTTCAAAATTTCTTTGATTAAATCCAATATACATTATATGCTTTATGATTGGTCTCTATAATGCTTCCATTTCAATCCATTGTTTTTCTACAGTATCTGGACTCTCTGGAACTACAGAAACAGCTCAAAGTCAGGTCTCAGTTGGAATGGGCTTGCTAGCTGGGTCTACAGTCATGCTTCTAACTGTAATATGGGGAACTTGTGTTATTGTCGGCAAGTGTGACCTGCACGATTCAATTGCAATAGATGGAAAAGATACAAAGAAATTTAGCTTAACTAGTATGTCCACGGAATTTCTTACTCATTTTTTCCTTTCCTATGTGCGAAAATCATGTATTGTTTGAAGAAAAACTATTATTTCTGACTTCGAATTGCTTCTCTCTCTCTCTCTCTCTCTCTCTCTCTCGGTAGCCAAAAACACATGGGTGATGTTGGCATGCCTAAAGTGAGGTTATGGCACATGAATTCATAAATTGTGATTTTTTTCATATCATCATCATACTTGTCGTTTTCCACGTATCCAAAAAATAAATAAATTTTTGTGCTTCTAGGTGTTTGCTTTTTATTTTGATTTTATTTAGGTGACAGTTCACAGTTGGATGCCATAATCGTAGTACTTTCTATTGTGATAAGAGTATCACTGATAATCAAATGCATGTTTAACTTCCTACGCCTCATAGACTTGTTTATTTTCTTGGATTGTTGCCATCCCAGTTAGAAAATATTTAAGTATAGAATGCTTGACCAATGATTCTTGATGGATTACATAATCCACATAAGTTACTCTCATCTTTGCAGGTTCTGCTGTCACTACTGACATCTGGACTAGCTATGCTGCAATGATCATGGCTATATCTGTAATACCATTTCTTGTTGTCCAGATACCACAATTTATGAATTCAACTTCAGGAAGACACTTGGCAGTCTTGATTGCACTTATTGTCTCTGTCTGTATGCTGATTTCATATTGTCTTTATCAGGTAAAATATATTTTCTATGCAGCATTGATCTTTCTGCTCTATGCAGTATGCTCAGTATTTTTGTTCATTTATTTATTTTGTCATGAATAAATTGAAACAATACATGGATACAAAAAAGTTAGGTTAATGCATTTATTTGTTCAACTCATGTCTGAAACATAAATATTGCAAGTATGTTTGACTTTATTGTGTACATATATCGTGAACAAATTTGAACAATACAAGAATACAACAGCACTAAATAATGTAAACATGTTATAGCTATTACATGGACTCAGAAATGAGTATTGGGTGTGAACTGGTCCAGTTGAGGAGAAGCCATTTCCTTATTTCGTTACTATCAAATTCAAGTTTTTTCTTCTCCAAACATTGTTTAAAATTTAGAGGATCTAAGTACCTAATTTGGGTAGGGTGATGGACACATATTTCATACTCTTACCCTTGTCATAACGCGAATCCAACAAGGAGAATTGAAGAGTCACATGTAACGCTGCCTTCCATACTTCATCAAGAAAATGTAATGTTGGGTAATGCTAATGCCTTGTTTTTTGCCTCTCCCTTGTCTTGGTTGCGAGCAAAACCTCTTGTTAATTAAGTCATCAGAAAGTGTATAGATTACATTTGGTGTTTTAATTTCCCTGCTTTCCTCTTCCGAAATAGTGGAAACCTTGTTATCAGAGGCCATATTATCTCACCTGTCACCTGAACTTTAATCGCCAAGGTATGGTGAACTCTTATTTGTCGTGTTGAATAGTGGGTTCCATCTCTTCTTGTAGTTAGCTGGTTAAATTTCTTCCCTGTTAATTGAATTATTAGGGATTTCCCTATCTGTGCTTTAACTTTCCTTCTCTATGTATAGGTTTTTCAGCCATGGATCCAGAGGAGAAGACTTGCTTATGTGAAGGATAAGCATGTAATATTGGGGTTTCTGAAATATCTAAAGATGCGTGCACTGGGAAGGTTCATCAAGGACAATGGCGATCTTAATACTGAAATTGTAGAAAAGTTGGTTTTCTTTTATACTTCCCACTGAAGATTCTGATTGCAGACTCACAAATTTTGGACTTGGACTCGCATATTTTCTGACTCTTAAATGGATTTTTGGCAGGCTATTTCACACAATTGATGGGGATAAGGATGGATTTATTTCAGAACCTGAATTAAAAGCTTTGATCGTAGGGATGCAGATTGATGAGATTAACTTTGATCAGATTAACTTGACTGAGGATGATGCTGTGAAGAAAGTGATGAATGCTTTTGATACTTCTAATGATTATAAAATTGATTTGCTCGAGTTCAACAATGGAATCTCAAAATGGCTTGACGAGGCGAAGCAGGCTGGAGCTCCTTCTCGTGAGGCTAGTCCTGGCACGATGAAATATCTTGATGACTTCCACAAGGTATTTCATGCCATGTTGAATTTCTCTAGCTTTTAGTACTGCTCTTGGATTATGATATCATTAATGTTCATGCATTTACAGCAAACAAAGAGAGAACACTATCTTTTGGGGGATCAAAGTGGGGATCAAAGTGTGGATCAAAGTGACGAAGTCGTGGAGGGTGTTGAAAATCCCAAGTGGACCTCTCTTAAAGCAGTGTTAATGTTGGTGGTGGGGACTGTCATCGCAGCTGCATTTGCTGATCCTTTGGTAGATGCTGTTGATAATTTCTCCGATGCCACAAGCATTCCATCTTTCTTCATCTCATTTATTGCGCTGCCTTTGGCTACTAACTCTAGTGAGGCAGTATCGGCTATTATCTTTGCTAGCCGGAAAAGGATGAGATCAGCCTCATTAACATTTTCCGAGGTTTGTTTTCCCTTTTTTATTTGTATTCCATCAGTGGCAGCAGTACATTAGGGGAGGGGTATTCAATTGAATGCTGTGACTATGTTTTTATTTGTGTATATATATGTAATAGCCTACTCCTTAGAATTTGAACACCCAAGTTTACATATTTTGAATATCTATACCGAAAATCTTAAACAACAAACTCACTCACTTCAAACTTTGCACACCCACCCACAACATACTCACAATCTCTTTTAATTCTGGATGCAATACCCCCATCAGAACCACTACGTATCTAGAAAAAGTGTCTAGAAAGTGAAGTAAATGAAATAAATTTGAAGTTGGGTGGTGTGGGACACATCCAAATTGCACCCAGTCTATACATTTCATTTTCTTAGTTTTTTTTTTTTTTTGATAAAGTAGTAATAGTGTACCCTCATATGAAAACCAAAAAAGCTACTTTCATATAAAATAAAATGGAAAAACCCGAAAGATAGCTCATTTGGTAAATGTGGCTTATGTTAAACTAAGATATTGAAATTGAGAAAAACTGCCTTCAAGCTTCATCAAAACTAGGTTGAAGTTGTGTGACTCTTTGAAAACAATTGAAAATTCATATATTTAGTATTTGTTTTAAATTGAAACAATTGTATAAATATATCTTAATTGTTTTGTGTTTTTGATTTAAGAGTTTAAATTAGATGATTTATTGGAAGTGAATGATAGATATAGATAAAAATGAATTATTTTTTATAAATTTAATTGAAGTTGTTGAATACCCTGACCTGAGTTTTTTCTGTTGTAGTTATATGGGGCAGTAACCATGAACAACGTCCTTTGCTTGTCAGTTTTCTTAGCTCTGGTTTATGTCCGAGGATTGACATGGGACTTCTCAGCGGAAGTTCTGGTTATTCTAGTTGTTTGCCTCGTGATGGGTGCATTTGCTAGCATCCGAACCACCTTCCCTCTTTGGACAGCTTTAGTGGCCTTCTTCCTCTATCCGTTCTCCCTGGCACTCGTGTATGTTCTTGACTATGTTCTTGGCTGGTCATAGAGGGATTCGTAGAGGTTGGTACTTTCTGGTGATTGACTAATCAATCGCGGTTTCTTACCCTTTCTTTTTTTTTTTTTGTTAGTTTGTAAATCTGAGAACTATGGCATGGCTATTTTTCGGGATATATAGAAAGCCATGATGATGTTGCATTCCATCTTGTGTATCATTTGCGTGCAAGCTTGATATTGTAGTCTGTATGTTATTTGTGTCTCTGTTGAATTTTAATTGGATATTTTGATTATGAATTGAGTTATGTTAACAGCTTATGAACCAAGACCTGATTTCTTAAGGTTGTGTGTGTTTGGTTCATGAATTTGTATAGGGATTTAAAAAGGAAAATAGAAAAAGTGTGAACTATAATTATATTTCATACGTAGAAGTCGTGTGACTATTCGAAAACAATTGAGAACTCCATATATTTAGTATTTTTGAAACAATTGTATCAATATATCTTAATTACTTTGTGTTTTTGATTTAAGAGTTTAAATTAGATGATTTATTGGAAGTGAATGATAGATATAGATAAAAATGAATTATTTTTTATAAATTTAATTGAAGTTGTTGAATACCCTGACCTGAGTTTTTTCTGTTGTAGTTATATGGGGCAGTAACCATGAACAACGTCCTTTGCTTGTCAGTTTTCTTAGCTCTGGTTTATGTCCGAGGATTGACATGGGACTTCTCAGCGGAAGTTCTGGTTATTCTAGTTGTTTGCCTCGTGATGGGTGCATTTGCTAGCTTCCGAACCACCTTCCCTCTTTGGACAGCTTTAGTGGCCTTCTTCCTCTATCCGTTCTCCCTGGCACTCGTGTATGTTCTTGACTATGTTCTTGGCTGGTCATAGAGGGATTCGTAGAGGTTGGTACTTTCTGGTGATTGACTAATCAATCGCGGTTTCTTACCCTTTCTTTTTTTTTTTTTGTTAGTTTGTAAATCTGAGAACTATGGCATGGCTATTTTTCGGGATATATAGAAAGCCATGATGATGTTGCATTCCATCTTGTGTATCATTTGCGTGCAAGCTTGATATTGTAGTCTGTATGTTACTTGTGTCTCTGTTGAATTTTAATTGGATATTTTGATTATGAATTGAGTTATGTTAACAGCTTATGAACCAAGACCTGATTTCTTAAGGCTGTGTGTGGTTGGTTCATGAATTTGTATAGGGATTTAAAAAGGAAAATAGAAAAAGTGTGAAATATAATTATATTTCATCCCCCCCTCTCTCTAAATCCCTCATCAAACCCTTCAACTGAACACAACATGTGTGATTGAGAGAGAAAAAAAAAAAGAGAAGGTAAATTGAATTTCTTAAGCCAAATCCTTGGTTTTTTTGTTTTTATTTATTTTTTTCTTTATGGAGCTTTTCAATCAGTAATAATGGCTTCCAAAAAAAACAATATGAACATATTTTATTTTAAAGTTAAAAGAATTAAGATTTTTTTTTAAAGAAAAACTTGAAGGAGTAGTAATTTGACAGTTCTAAAAATAAACACAATCAATATCAAATTCCTTTTTTACTTCAATTTGTTTGTTTTTTATTTTTATAAATACATATTTTGACAAAACCTCTTAATATGGGTCCTACATAAACAAAGAAAAAAAATCAAATAAATAAATAATTGACACCTTGCTAATGTTAAATATGGCATACATAGGGCAATGCGAAATACTACTTAGATAAATGACAATTTTTTTTTTAAATATAAAATATTACATGGTAAATTATGACATAAGATTTGATGGAAATGCTCTGAAGTTGTGGCTAAATATTATGGATTCGAGTAGCCCATGTCAGTCGTTGGACAACTCAATAAATGAAGAGAAAGCTGAACCATTATATGATAAAAGTAAGAAATTTAAAAATAATTCTCATTCCACCAACATAAATTTTGTTGATATTAGCACCCAAATATATATATATATATATATATCTAAAGAGTAATGTTATACAAATAAATTTTGTATTTTTTTTATTAATTAGTGTGACATTTACAATATTATTATTGTGAATCCTGTTTCAAGTATCAATGTTTTGTTAGTGTATGACACATTAATTAACCAAAAAAAATTGAAAATATTATAAAATTTATATAACAGTTTATTATCCAAATCCTTATAGGGATCCAGCAATTCAAGATGTAAGCATGGTATCCTTCCCCTATCAAACAAATCTCTCACAGTAAGCCATAGCTCTCATCACTCATCTGCTAGTGTGATCAGATTCCCAAAATCCACATGCAAAAACTTTTTACCAATCAAAGGGTGTGCTTGACTCATCCACCAACCAAACAAAATGAAACAGCAAACCTAACAACCCAACTATTGCACAACCAACAATGCAACAGACACATAATTTTTACATAAATTGTGCATAGAATGTTGTGTGGTTATGGTTACAAGACAGCATACAAGTTACTTGATCTTGACTTGTTAAATGTTTGTTAGAAATTAACTTATGTAAACAAGTCAATCAAATTTAAACACATTTTAAAACTTGTGGTGAATTCCTAAGTTAAGTTTAAAAAATTTGCTACTCGGCTCGTCTCAATCATATGCATTATAAAAAATCAAGCTGTCTAAGTTGGCTCGCAATAAGTTCAATTAAAACTCATTTAAGATTAACTTGAAAGAATTGAACACATTTTGAAATTTATTAAGTTTTCAAGCCATGTTGAACAAGAAGCTACTACTAAACTCGATTCATTTACAACCTATGTGTCCCTAATATATGCGTTGTCAACACATCTTGGGAGCTAAATCAGTTTACTGTCATGACAACATCATTTTGTGCACAAGAGTGTGCACAAATCAGTATCTACAACATTATCTCTTTGCAACCAAACTTCCTCGCATTAAATTTGTAACTCGCAAAATAAAAACAAGTCAATTGCATCTCTCCTCACTGTCATCTTCATGCTTCATGCTTACATAATGCGATGTCCACATTCATATCTCTACTTTTACCCATAAAAAAAAAACACTAGATGAAAAAGAATATAAAAGAAAAAACCCGCATCCTAGCATGTTTGAGAGAAAAAGCTACAGCCTGCCAAAACATCACAAACAATCATTCTTGGAGGAAAACAACTTGGCCTGCCAAAACATGAAGAAATGAACTAACCCTCCTACAACTTCAGATGGAGGTCAAGTTTTTCACCAACCTCACCATTGCAGCCGCTAACGGTGGTTGTTGCTTGGTCAATCCATGCCTTTGCCGGAGGAAAGAAGCAGTACAAAGGCTGTTTTTGGGGCCCAGGATGGTGAATTGGGTCTTCAGCACTTCCCTGAAAAATATAATGCAAGCGAACTATTAGATGATGCGATTGGAATGAAGTCAGGAATCCAAAAAATTGATAATGGATTTTTGTTGTTTAATCTCACCTGATGTGGTAGAAATTGAAGTTCTGATAATTCTCTGGTATATGGGGTTTGATACAATGAAGGGTGCTTATACTTTGAACTAGATTGGGGCAAAGCTGTTGGAGGAGAAGCCAACGTGAGAAAATCTCCATTTAAATTGCCATTCTCTTTTACCACTTTCTTTGGATTCAGCTCACACAAGACTGTTGAGCTCGAAGGGCCTTCTCTAAATAGGATGCTAATTCAATGTCAGTATACAAGAATAACACAACTACAACCACATTTTGTATATATAACAAATCATCAAAAGAAAGCTGACCTGAAAATTGGATTGTTGGGTTCGATATTAACTGTGCCTCCATTGCCACATGAAGCTGATTCATCTGATCTAGTGATGGGAGGAACAAAGATGGGTGGAAATTTGCAAGGGAAAGAGGGGCCTGATAGATTATCTGGAGGGAAAGGATATGGCCTCTTCATTCCAACCATCTAAATTACATTATATAAAATAAAGAAGAAAAAAACCCATAAGTATCGATGAAGAAATTTCCATTAAATGTCATTAAGAAAAATAATAGAATTGAAATATGTAAGAATCCCATACTAGAATAAAGAAAACGGTAAGCTTATAGAATTATTATACAGAATAATGTGACAAAGGGAATTATCAATCAACCTTTTGTTTTCCAATGAATGGACGTAAATAGGTCCAATCATTCTATATAAAATTTCTACATATAAATCCTATCAATCCAGTTGTTTTCGTATGAGTTTTTACTTATAACATGAGAAAATTAAAAAAAGAACATATAAAAGATCCATATTTCCAATGTCTTGATTTTGATGAGAAAAACCAATTCTAGCTCTTTCAAAGAAAACATCTATCAAATTATAAACTACAGAAATTAATGATTTTAACAGAGTCACCTTAATAAATAGAACTTGCTCTAGTGAATCTCAACCAAGCGCAGGAAAAATTGCGGCATACAGGCTGAGAAAATGAAAGGAAGTTGAGCATTACCTTCTCTTCCTCATGCCACAAAGGTGTGTAGTTGTTGCCATAAAAGCTTTGGTTTGAAGGGGGCTCTATCTGATGATAATTGATCTCAGATGATGATGAAGTACCTGATGAGACAGTCACCTACAATTTTCACAAATTCAATTAGTCCTTCTTCAATTCTCACAAACCCCAAAATTCAAATTCCAAATCATGAAAAACCCATTAAGAACACATTAAAAAAACATTGACTCATTAATATTGCTAACCATTGATGAAGAAGAAGGTGGCTGCTGGAATTGCAGTGTCCTCTGTGTTATATTAGGGGGAGGCCAAATGGGGTTAGATTCTTAGGGTAAATTCAAATTAGACGGAAACCCAAAACATTCCACAACTGAGGCCAATTACCCTGCCCCAAACCCGAAACATTTGATGGTTTCGACAATGGTACGTAATTCGGATGCAAAACATCAACGTTGGGGATCGAAGGGGCCGGTCTAAATATCAAATTTGGCGAAGAAAGATCGGTTTGCGAAGGGTTATGCCAAAAATTGGAAGTACGTTGAGATTGAACTGCTAAACATGAAGAATTAATTGGTGATAGAAGTGAATTGGATAGTAAAAGAACATCTTTCTTTTGTTGTTCCTCTAATATAATCTTCTCAAGCTGAGCAACACCTAGTCCTCTTTGTGGGACTTTTTTTTGCTTCAACTTTTTTGAAGATCTGTTTCCACCACCAGCACTGCTGCTATTGCTACACCTGTGGTTATGTTCTTCTTGAGCCATTTTTGGTCTCAGCCATCTAATTACAAACACATAATGGGCAATCTTAAATAGGGAAAAACCCAAAATGGTGGAGTTATGTACAGAAACAAATCCACCAAATCAGTACAATTCTGAGATACCCAAAATCTAAAGAATCAAAAATCAAAATCTGAGGGGGTTTGAGAGAAAACCCAGAAGCAAAATCTCGAGGTGATGACCGCGCGAATAAACCAGTAATTTCCCACAGACGGCGCCAACTGATAAGGTATTGATTCCCGGGTGGATGGGTCGGACCGGCCCAGGCTCTTCAGGCTCCGGCTCAAGAAGGAGACTCCGTCAGATGACCTGCATGCAAGTTCAGGGGGGAACGGGGTAGTCCCCCAGTGAACCCTCCGGTGCAAGAATTAGAAGAGCAGAGTATGAAAAAACTGTATCTCGAGAGATCAAGAGAGAGAGCAACTTAACCTCCTTTTTTTTCTCTTATCCTTGCTTATATCCTTTTGTCATCATTTTTCCTGTCTCTTGTGACGTGCTTTTTCCGCCGAAAGCCTGTGCCATAGCTCATCTTGTTTAGGGTGATGGAGGCTCTGTTCCGGCGGGGAGTGCTGTTGTAATAAATGCTGTGATGGGTTGCATTAATGGTGATGTGTTGTGATAATAACTCTGCAGATCTTTGTCTGCTGATGTGGCCCGTGTCCCACCTGCCGTGTGCCTAAATGCCGTTGGCCCTTCATGTCTAGGTGGCCTCCAGCTGTTCTGGGCCTTGTCACCCAAGCAACCGGGTTGTGCCATTGGCCCCAAGCACTGGGTTCGGGGTGGTTTACCGTGGGCCGTGTGCCTTGTGGGCCTATCCATGTCAAAAATAATGAACAAATGTTTCAAAATTCAAATTTTTTTTAAAATGAAAAAATCTAAAGCAACCGTTTTCAATACTTTGCTTTCTCTCTGATTTCTCGCCCAAATCCTCGCTCCACTCCTTTCCTTACTAGACTGACTCTCAAGAACACTCTCTTTCTATCTCTCTATATCACGGTCTCTCTCTCTCTCTCTCTCTCTCGATCGAGCATTGCAATGGAGTGTCATGTTTTGCAGAGCTTTAGGACCAAGCCTGGGGGTCATGCTTGTTTGTCTTGGAATCTGACCCTTATAACAAAACAAAATTTTAATCTTGTCAATTTGAATATAAAATTTTTAATTTGAACCATTTATCTATTTTTGTTAAGTAAAATTAAAAAAAAATTATTATATTTCGTTTTAATTTTTTGAATTTAATTTTTTAAAAATTGAATTTTTTTTTCATATTTTTTTTGTTTTTAGTGAATATTTTTAAAATTTTAGGCAATTTTTATTTATTTTTTTATTATTTTTTTAGATATACCTTGCTTAAATGTATCTAAAAAAAAATATTTGTACAAAAAATATTTAAAAAACCAATAAATACACAAGAATATTAAAATGTACTATTTTTTTTTTGTTGTTGATATTTTTGGTATTTAGTGAATTATTAAAGTTTTTTTTTTATTTTTTTTTACAAATATTGTACTTTTTAAATGTATTTATGTTAGGTGTATTTAAAAATTTTAAAATTGCTTAAAAAAATTCAATTTTCAGTGAAAACAAAAAACAGTCATGCTACGTAGCTCGAAAGCTACGTAGCTCGAATCCCCCTAATTGAAAACGTTGCCGTTTTTCTATTTTTTTTTTTCAGAAGCAGAAATCAGGAGGAAGAAGGAGAGGAGAGGAGAGGAGGAGGAGGAAGGAGGATGAGGAGGACTGGAGGGGGCCTAATAACAGGGGAGGAGGAGGCGGAGACGGCGGCCGGAGTTGGAGCTGGAGCTGCTGCTGCGACGAGCTGGCGGCGAGGCGATGACGGCGGGCCGGAGCTGCGACGACGGCGGGGAGCTGCGATGACCACCAGCTGCTCCTCTTCCCCTCTTTTTCTCTCTCTCTCTCTCCCTCTCCCTTTCCCTCTTCCTTTCTTCTTCTCAGATCGGTTTCAGATCGAAAATGGAAGAAAAAAAAAAGAAAAAAAACCTAATGCCAAAAACGACGTCGTTTTGGGCATTAGGGGGATTCGGGAGGCAAAATCTTCGAGCTACAAAACATTATTCAACAAAAAAATAGGAAAAACAAAAAATTTTAATTTTCTAAAAAGTGAATCTTGAAATACCAAACCAAACAAGCTGAATATTATTGTAGTCATTAAACTTAATGTAAATATACATAAAATATCTAAAATACTCATTTTTATTGAGTTTAATAACTAAAATAGTTATTTTTTTTATTATTGATTTTACTTAATGAAAACATACAAATAATTTAAATTGAAACAAATTAAATGTTTAGGATTGTATGAATCTCCTTATTTATTTATTTATTTATTTATACATAAATAAGTATATAAATACAAGTATGCAGTGTAGTCCAAAATTAACAGTTTTTTTTTTCTTTTTTTAAATCTTCCAAAATTTAAAATGTTTTGTGATAATTAATATTGGCTTAAGTGGACCAAGTTGGCTTGGTCGGTATTCACTTTGATTATTTGACTATTTTTTCAATTTGGGCTAGAATAAGCATGGGTCCACAGTTGCACTGTAGTTTTTAGTTGAATCATCATATTAATACAAAATTGGAATATATACCTTCCCATATTCCTTGTCATAAGCTATGCCAGTTGTCAAGGTGATTAAAGACTTTAAAAAAAAAAAGAAATTTTGCTTCAATAATATATTGCCATAGAGGTCGTGACCTAGCCAGCATTCTCACATTGGTTCATGGCAAAGTCAGAAGGCTGGTACTATAGAAGGCTGATATTAATCGGTTGTATCCTGCGAGAATAAGGGGCCGAATATAATATATGGGCCGAATAAGAGAAAGGATAATGATTAAAAAGTAGGCCCTGGCCCCGAGGCCCAAAAGAAACAGGTATAAATACAGGAATAAAAGATTTAGTAGATATGTAACAATCACTTTTTGTTTAACTTAGAAGACAAGCTATTTTGAGTATAAGAACTGACTTGTCCGTCGGAGTGCTAATTCTGGCACCCCCGATCGGAGTGTTTGTGTCTTGTTAGGTGATTAGCTAAGGATCACTAGTGTCTCCCAAGATCTGAAGAGTATTTCCAAAACCACTTCTCCACAATTGGCGTCGTCTGTGGGAATACTCAAATACATCCAAGAGAAAGGACAATGATTAAAAAGTAGGCCCTGGCCTTGAGGCCCAAAAAAAATAGGTATAAATACAGGAATAACAGATTTAGTAGGTATGGAACAATCACATTTTGCTTAACTTAGAAGACAAGCTATTTTGAGTATAAGAACTGACTTGTCCGTCGGAGTGCTAATTCTGGCACCCCCGATCGGAGTGTTTGTGTCTTTTCAGGTGATTAGCTGAGGATCACTAGTGTCTCCCAAGATCTGAAGAGTATTTCCAAAACCACTTCTCCACAATTGGCGTTGCCTGTGGGAATACTCAAATACATCCATGGCAGGCGTGACTGAAGATTCTCCGATAGCCACCGACGAAACCACACAGAGAGATGACCTCACTCCAGCAAATATGCTCCGAAAGGAAACCATCGCTGCAAGACGCGCCTTGAACTTCGATTTACCAACGACTTCAGCGCAAGAGACAATGCAAGCGATCATGGAACAAGCAAAGCAGAATGAACAAAGGCTGGAGAACATGATCGTTGAAAATGAACGTCTCCGTCAAGACTTGAACCTGGAAGTGGCAAAATCCAGAGAAACCGTGCGCTAAGATCCCGAACATCCTCTGAAGGCAGGTGGACAACGACTTCGAGCCCAACCAAGGGATACTGATAGCGACTCCAACTCACTGTCCACGGAGCTCAACAAGAGGGGAAGATCCGAAATTTCCAGCTCCTCCGAAAAGAGTCTTCGTACAAGGAACAAGCGCAGAAGAAGCAGTTTAGACGAAGACGACCAGCATGATCCCTTTGTCAGACGGATTGCAAGGGCGGCCCTGCCCAAGAAGTTCACAGCTTCGTTATTCACTCTCTACGACGGAAAAACCCCACTGATCATATCTGTCACTACAAGCAGGCCATGACATTGCATGCAGACAATGAGGTCCTCATGTGCCGAATATTTCCCAGCAGCCTGGGACCATTAGCTGTTAGGTGGTATTACAAGCTGGAGCCGGCTTCGATCAAAAGCTTCAATCAATTACAGAAATCCTTTAGGGCCAGGTTCATCACCAACGAGGTACAATCGAAACAGGCCGACTCTCTCTGGGCTATGCAGATCCAGTCAGGAGAAACGCTCAGAGCGTACTCGGCGCGGTATTAGGAGTGCTTCAATCTCGTTGACGATGCTTGCAACGACTCCATGGCCATCACCGCCTTCAAAATGGGACTACACCCTAACAGCGCTCTTCGCAGTTCCCTGACCAGAAGACCCCCCAAAACAGTCTGGGCGTTGATGAAGAAAGTTGAGGAGTATTGCAAAGTCGAAGACGATGCCTTGAGAATTAAAGCCGGATAAACGTCCAACAAAACAACACTCCCTGAAATTGCTCAACCAATAAGTTCCATGCCACCTCTGAGCCCTGAGCCACGGCAACGCGCTAAAAGAGACAAAAGGCGGGACTCTCGCCGATCAAGCGATCAATGCTCCCACCAGACGAATGAACAACTGCAAGTTGACAGCAGGCGCTTGAGGCGTGTCGACAAGAAGTACACAGAATTGTCCGAACCAATCACTGCGATAATGACCAAGGTCCAACACCTTCCATTCTTCAAATGGCCGTTGAAGATGGTGGGACCTCCCGACACGCGAAGAAGGAACAGGCGGTGTGAGTATCAAAAAGATCACGGCCACGAGACTGAGAATTGTTACGCGTTAAAGGATCACTTGGAAGAAGTAGTACAAGACGGCCGACTGCAGCAGTACGTGAGAAACGGCAAGCCAATCAAGGCACTAGCCTTGAGGCATGACTCATCCCCACTTGGCGTGATCCATATAATCTACAACCTGCCAGCGCCCCCAATCGTGCACGCAATCTAATCGTATCCAATCCCCCAAAAGCAACATATTCCGACTGAATGACCCAGAGAAGCTCCGACAAT